AGCTGTATAAATGGTAGCAATAGCACAAATGGAAGGGGCTCTTCATGCAATCTAGGGCAGTGGTTCTCAACCAGGGGTCTGAGGCCTCCTGGGGAGCCATGACCAAGCATGGCCGGCATTAGACTCGCTGGGGCCCAGAGCAGAAAGCCAAAGCCCCACCACACTGGACTGCAGCCCAGGGCCCCAAGCCCCATCACCCAGGGCTGAAGCCAAAGCCTGAGCAACTTAGCTTTGCAGTGCCCACTGTGGTGTGTGGCCCCGGGGCAATTGCCATGCTTGCTACCCCTTGAGGCTGGCCCTGGCTTTTATATGCAGAAAACCAGTTGTGGCACAGGTGGGCCATGGAGTTTTTATAGCATGTTGCAGGGGCCTCCGAAATAAAAAGGTTGAGAACCCCTGATCTAGGGAATAAAGATGTACTGCAGGTCCACTTCAGCATAACACAACAATGTTTTCAAATAAAGATTTGTAGCACATACAAAGAGGCTGTAATCCCCAATGGTACAACGTAGTTTTGTTGGCTCAAGTACAGCTATAAGAAACAGAAAGCTTACTGGTCTGCATATACTATAGATGTGTCATGCGTGGCCAAGAAAGTGCTGATAAAGCATCCACACTTTAGAGGTATTACAAGCTGGGGAAAAAAAAGACACTAGATAAACTTAATATCTACAGTTCTTCAAAAAAATGTTCACCAATATGCAATGTAAGGGAGCTTCATACACGTCATCCAGAAACAAGAGTGATATTATTCAGCAGGTGGAATATACAAGGTCAAGGAAATTATGAAATTAAATAGTACATGAACTTTGTAGAAATCATTTTCTGTGTGGGAAAGTCAACTTACATTTTTATGGACACAATGGGACATATTAATGGAGTTACACCAGGGTTGAATTTGCTCCACAAAGTAGCATGATACAAAGGCAACTAGAGAGGCATTTACATTAGGATTGAAACATTTAGCACTGGTTTTCTACATGATTCTACACCAATAACATGTCACCACCAGCAAAATGAACAAATTTATTGAAAGCATATATTAAACATATACACTCAAAATTTCATCCTCATTAATGATTCCTAACATGAGACTGCTTTGCTTTTGTGCAAGTGACTCTCAGCACTGCTGTGCCTTCCTCTGCATTATCAATCATTTCTACTATGGTTGGAGTTTTTGGCATCTTGTGGCCCTCATTTCACTCCTTTGTGCAGTCATTCTTTTTGAAGTTTGACAATGGACAATATCGCTAGACCTCTCCAGTGTCAGTTCACTCAAGGTTCCATCCTAACAAAACTTTCAATGCTGCTCAAGTATGTTAAAGATTTTTTTTTAAATGGTGGCAATTTAATGTTATTGAAGTTAATTGGTTTATAAAATATTGCTGAGTGGTATTTTGATACTGTTTCATTAGCTGTTATCACTGAGTGCTGGTGATCACTGAAAAGCCAAATATTTTCCTTTCCCAAAGATACTAAGTGTGAAATCTTGGCCCTGTAGGGCTATTGGCCTGTTTCTCCAGCTCAATAAGGACTGATGCCATGTCCAACAAATGATCAGGTCCTCTTTCTCAGGCCTTTATTTATTCTTCAAATACAAAACTCACAAAGTAAAACAAAACTCTTCCCCAGTACTCCTACAGGGGCCTATCACAGGAACCAGCAGATACCATTCTCAACTGAGCTCTTTCCACCTTTACAGGAATTTTCCTGGCCCCTTCCCAGCTGGGTCTGCTAATCCTCTCCACCAGGCCCAAACAAAAAGGGGCTCTTAAAGCCTCAGTAGAGGGCTGGCTGTCTCACAGCCCTAGTAGTTCCTTAAAGGGGCAGACCACCCTTTTACAGGTCCAACTGAAGTCAATGGCTGTTTTAAGTCCCATTGACTTAAAAAGAGCAGGGATTTCATCCCAGCTGTAACCTAGTTGTGTCGGTTGTAGAGATTTAAGACCCTAAAGTCATTGCATACTGCTTTGATACACAAAAAGGAAGGGGAGTCAGGGTGGGTGCTCCATATGGGGAGTTGGGGTGTCAGGGAGAAGAGGTGGAGCAGTTCCTACCTGCTCCCTGGCCTTATTCCAGGTGCCATGGCAGCTGCACCAGCCCCTCTGGGTCTCATTCTCTCCTCTGCTTGCCCCTGCAAATGTCTGCAGTTTACAGGGAATGGCGCACACTGGTGAAAACACAGATCAGCTCCCACAATATTTATACTGCAAAGGTGAAAGCCCACACTGCACTGTGATTCCACCACCTCCAAGACACAGATATTTTTTCTATTTGCTGTAATGATTTTAAAAGAAGAGCATGTATATTGGTATGAATAAGGGTAGTGCTTTGGGAAAGCTTGGGTCTAGAAGTGGGTTTTGCATTTAGCTCTGAATGTGTTGAGCCTAAGTGGCCTCCACTCTGTATAAAGTTGTGATGTTGACTGGGCTAGTGCTTGTTTTGCAGTGTACTTTGACAGTGTAGCATCACTATAATGGAGAAAAATAAATGAACTGAACAAAAACCAGAAAGGGGTCATAGATATCTAATCTGCCAGATTAACAGGGGTATCCAAAATACCTGACTTGCCTGCATCATTATACAGTACTCTTAGGCTACCACTTTCTTTAATTTATCTTCAATAAGTACATCCAGGAATGTCACCAAAGGAGATAATGTTATGTTGCTTTCCAGGAAATGATGATGATAAACATATCATTTAGCCATGGATGGCCTGTTCATTTTAAGGTCTACCTGTTTTTGGAAACTAGGGATTTCCCCTGCTATAATAAACTGTTAACTTAGATAACGCAGTTTGTAAAACCATCTAACAATGCTAATACAACATCTTAGAAATAATAACCACATCATTGATTTAGATGAGCTCTGCATTTTCCTGACATTTGTAGAAGAAATTATACAAAGAGACAGACACTTAGAGAAAAGTTAAGAGATTCCAGTGCTTATATAAGGGCTTCAAGAATTAGAACATTCAAAAACCAGTAGGAGAACACTTCAATCTCTCTGGACACTCAATAACAGACTTAAAAGTGGCAATTCTTCAACAAAAAATCTTCAAAAACAGACTCCAATGAGAAACTGCAGAACTGGAAATAATTTGCAAACTGGACACTGTCAAATTAGGCCTGAATAAAGACTAGGAGTGGATGGGTCACTACAAAAACTAATCCCCCCGCTGATACTCACACCTTCTTGTCAACTGTTTGAAATGGGCCGCCTTGATTACATTGAACTCATTAGCACTACAAAAGTGATTTCCCTTGATATTCACCCCTTCTTGTCAACTGTTGAGAATAGCCCACTTCCACCTTAATTGAATTGGATCGACCCGCCACTTGGTAAGGCAACTCCCATCTTTTCATGTGCTGTGTTTTTATACCTGCCTCTGTATTTTCCACTCCATGCATCTGATGAAGTGGGTTTTAGCCCATGAAAGCTTATGCCCAAATAAATTTGTTAGTCTCTAAGGTGCCACAAGGACTCCTCGTTGTTAGTACAGGAAGTGAGACTGTGCTTTTCAGTGGATATTACAGACATAGCCTGGACAGTACTGCCTTAGAAAATTTTAAATTTGTATTTAAGAATGCATAAATTATTCTATGACAAAGATCTGCATGTAGCAAAGATTTATGTATAACATATACCCAGTGGAAAGAATTTTAGATCAATCAGATTTCTTGCCAATTATTATGTCCTTTGGTAAAGCACAGTCATTACTTGTTCCTCATGTGGTGCCCTTTAAATAATACAAATATATATGAGAAACAAGCACACAAAACCTGGGAATGGAAATTGCTAAACAGATCAATCTAGTTCAAGTAAACTGCAAGATCTCTGAATCCACCATGCTAAAACTTCAATCCTGCAAACACTAAGGCATGTGCTTTACTACCATGAGCAGCCCCATGGCAATCAACGGGATCACTTACAGTGGTAAAATTAAGCATGTGTAAGTGTAAGCAAGAGTGGGGTCTAACACACTGTTCTATCTAGCAATACTGTAGGCTTTTACTATAGCAAAAATATTCCAGGCAAATGTACTTTACCTTCCCCACTTGTTGACATTTTGCATCCATTTTATGTGCAACAATACACTACTACTTTTAGGATTCTGAACCACATCAAGACAACAAGGAAGTTCAACTAATTTAACTTGGAGGTCCAGTAGTTGGCCTGTTGTGCCTTTTTTTAATGGAGACAGAACCCTCTTGGATTTATGGCAACGTGTGTATACATAGATTTAAAAAAATTCCAAACCAAGACTTTACTGCATGCACTCCTCCCCCAGGGGAGACCATGAGAGAACAAACACATCACAGATGTACGTCACGTGGCTTAATGCACTACGGGAAGGCTACAGTGATGGGCGTGGTGGTATAAGCACTACATAGAGCAGAATACCAACTGTTGTTCAATTACAAACAAGGTATTCGCACACACCCCTGTAAAATGAGCCGACAGGTCCCACCACACTGCACGTTGGCGTATAAAGTGAGTTGATCACGGCGCTTTAGGAGAATAAATGTGTTTCTTTTCCTGCTCTAAGTCAGAGGGGGGGGCGCGGGGGGGGGGTTTACCGGACTTTGGCTTTGGGGTGTAGATGATTTACCCGTTAGTCTCCCAGGGTTACACCCCCGCCTACGACACTGGGGTATTTGTCACTGACGGGCTCAGTTTCAAAGCGCACCACCAACATCTGCCCAAAGGAGCAGCGCGGACTCTGCTTTTCCAAGGGGCTTCTGCAGCCCCCACCCCGCTCATTATCTGCCAGACTATGTTAATATGTGTGTGTGTGGGGGGGGGACTCTGTACCCCTCCCCCTTCTGTCCCCCTGAGGGAGCCTTATCTCCGCCCCGCCCCTTCTTCAGGGGGTCCGCACTCAGCCACACACGGCGAGAGACGACGAGCACGAGCCAGCTCCTCGCGTGAACTAACTGACGGACAGACAGCTCCAGCCCGCTCCCGCGCGAACAGCCATGCGCATGCTGTTTACCTACCAGCTGCCCCGGAAGTGCCCCGCGCACTACTCTGCCCCCACAGAGCAATGGCAGAGACATCGCCGCCGACCGCAATCACGTGACTCCAGTCCAGGCTCCGAGAAGCACCGGCTGAAGGGACACTCTAGCCGGCGCCAGACATAGGCGTAACGGCGGGGGTGGGGCCGCGCTGTCTCCTTTTCCTGTTTCCGGTTGGCCAGTGAGTCTCCTGTCCTCGCGGCTTCTGGTTGTGGAGCCGCTGTTGGAGCTGGCGAGGCAGCGTGAGGAGGGGTCAGTTCTTCCCTGGGGCTTGGGCGGGCTCTAGTGCGAGGGCTCCCCAGAGACCCTGCCGCTGGGCCCGCGTTCCCGCGCAGGAGGCGCCGCCAGCCGACCCTTCGCCCGCCACGGGGCAGTGATTGATTCAGCCCCTCCCCTCGGGTGCCGCTGGCTGCGCTCTGCAGAGCGCTGGGGCGGGGGAAGGGAGCGTGACCCGACACGCTGGGGGAGGGGGACACTGTGGGCTCCTCAGCCCGCTGCGGGGGTCGGCTCCGCCCCCAACGACTCGTGCAGTGAGCGGCTCGCTCCCGCCCGGGCCCCGCTCCAGGTACGGGTAGTCGGAGCGGACACGCTGCTCCCGCCCCAGTGCGGGGCTCCCTGCGCCGAACGCCAGCCGCATTCCCTGTATCGTCTCGCTACCAATCCCGCGTTTAGCGTGGACCGCAGATACGCTAGGCCCGGGACTTTTAACTCTGGGGTGCGGAGAAACCACTGGGGGGTCCCGCCGGCTCCGGGGCTGGAACAAGAGTTTAAAAGAAAACGAACTTGGCTGCATAAACAACCCACCTGGGAACAATCCGTTATTTACTGGTCTGAATAGGAAAGGTGAGAGGTGGGTGGAAAGCATGTGTTGGAGAACGATCGTAACAGCTGAGTTCTGCTTCCCACCCTCTATCTAAATAAATGTGAAGCACTCTGAATAACTGTGTAACGGGGACAGATATTGAATACTGCACTGCATAGGCACGGTAACTTGCACTATTTTTATAACTATGTAATGAAACGATTTTATCATTCAATTTTTACATAGGGTTTCCCCAATTGGATGGTAGAAAAGATGTTTGATATCAAAGCATGGGCTGAATATGTTGTGGAATGGGCTGCGAAGGACCCATATGGCTTTCTTACCACTGTGATCTTGGCCCTTACACCATTGTTCCTAGCAAGTGCAGTGCTATCATGGAAACTGGCAAAAATGATTGAGGCCAGGGAGCGAGAGCAAAAGAAGAAACAGAAACGCCAGGAAAATATTGCAAAAGCCAAACGAACAAAGAGGGATTAAGCGAGGCAAAATGCCTTCCTTGTGCAAAAAAGTGCTTTTGTTGAAGCATTCTTGTACACTTATATCTTTGTGTGGTGTTGTCTTCCTCCAGCAATCTTCTTGAACTGACATTTCAACCCCTGAAATTATTCATGTTCTGCTTAAACAATTTGTGGTGTTATCTCTGTCTAATCTGCAATGGCATTTGATGTGTATATTTCAACCAGATATCACTTTCCAATGAGTTTACTTTTGTATGTTTACATGACATACACTAAAATGAATGGATTGGTGGTGGTGGGGCTTGTTTTTTTTAAAATTGGAACTGCTTTAGCAATTGTTCAAACATGTCAATATTAAATTATGGAAGAAAAAATTAAAATGTCTGACTTTCTAAAAATACTGCAGTCATTGGTTTTCTAGAAGCTTAGGAACTTTGTTTTTATACAGCCTTTTTTTCTACTGTTGATTTGTCTTCATTATAGTACCTTTTTTTTTTTTTTTTTTTTTTTTTTTCCTGGTTTCAACTTGGCCCTGGAATAGCAGTCCTTGTTTCTGAAGCAGTTGTCAGCTTTGTGTTCTCAGGAGTTTGTTTTATTATATGAACAGTGTTAGCATTTCATATTAACTCAACTAAATTCTTCATGAGTGGCTCTCAAAATCTGCTTCCTGGACTATCAGTAGCCCACTGAGCCTTTTTTGGATAGTTCACAGAAGGAAACTTTTTACAACCAAGCAGTAGGCAAATGACTTCATTTTCACAATATCCCAATGTGAACAGCTCTTGCCTACAATATACTTCACAAAATGAATGTAGAGATCCATTTGGCAAATAACTAAATATCATTCTAGGTTTAGGTGATGACAACAGTAACTCTAGAGCAGCAGAGGAACTGCTTTGGATATTACCAGCTTTGGAAGGATGGCTTAATGAAAAGAAACAAAAGCTGCATGTGATTCTAGTGCTGTAAACATTGCAAAGTTAGTTGGAGCTAAGGCTAACAGATTTAATTTATTCAGATTTTTCTGTCCAAAGAATAATAGTAAAAGTGAAAAATGTGTAGTTTAATGTGCTCTAGCAAATCTTAATTTTTATTACTACTATAGTTCCAATGGGTCTGATCCTGTAGTAGCAATCAAGTTTTAGGCCCTGTTCCAATAACATCTCTTAACCAGAGCGAATAGAGTTGTGGTTTGTCATACTGGATTCTCATGCCTAGCTCTTCACTTCGTATGTAAAGGATAAACCCTTATGAAAGCAGATGCTCTATATTATTGAAAGGAGGAAGTGAATAGGAGATGATACATACCAATACAAATAAACAGGAAGTTTTGTTAAATCAATCTTGGGGCTTGTCTACACTGGCAATTTACAGCGCTGTAACTTTCTTGTGCGGGGGTGTGAAAAAACAACCCCCTGAGCGCAGCAAGTTTCAGTGCTGTAAAGCACCAATGTAGACAGTGCATAAGCACTGGGAGCCATGCCCCTCGCAGAGGTGGGTTGTTTTTTTTTTTTTAAAGAGCGCTGGGAGAGCTCTCTCAGCACTGCGCCGTGACCACATATAAGGCACGTTAACAGTTGCCAGTGTAGACTACCCCTTAGGTAAAAGATGTGAAACATTGAGGTGTAATAGTTGGCTTTCTTCTGAGTGTTGCTCAAGACAAGTATTGTTAGAATGTAAAGCGTCTTCTCACCTTTTTATGATCTACTGGATTAAGTCTTCAGTGTTTGTCTTCAATATGGTTACACCTTGGTATTTATACAGTTTTGATAGTTTTGAGTCTGTTCCATTTTAAAACTAACTACATTACATAAATAAATTTGATACTTTTTTTTTAAAATGTGTTCGTTCTTTATTCTGACTTCTAAAAATGTGTAACAGCTGTAGAGCAAAGGAATGTGCTATCTGTACAATACTTAAGTATATATTTCCTTAAAGAAAGGGTTCTAAGGAGAATGGGTTCAACATACATTAGTAAGTGAAAATGATCCAATTTAACTAATTCTTAGGCATAATCCTCTTAAAAGTGGTGTGACTTATTGTATGTGTCACCAATGAATGCACTATTGTTTTTTATAGTAGGCATAGCTCACTCTGTGTGGCTGATGTAAAGGACTCACACTCTTAAAATCTCCAAGTGAAGCATTTGTTAACCAGCTGATGCATTCTGACTGGGAACATTTGTCCTGTGTTGGAGGTGGAAGGTAGAATCTCACCATGCACACCAATTAAAGCCAGGTGTAGTCTAGTTAATTTATAGAATCAGAAGGTAGACATGGAAAATACATGTTATTTGTTTAGTCTATTATTGCAAGATTGTTTCCTATATTAATTTTTTGTTCAGTCACTTTAAATCCCATGTGATGTGTTTCCACCACTTTCCTTTATTTTAATATCGCAGCATGTGCTGGGTGCCTCCCACTACAGCAAAAACATGTTCGTAAACGTGGATTTCTGAATCACTTAAGACACTGAAAATCTCAGATGAGGCTACACCCCAGTTTTGGACATGTGCAGCCTGGGGAAGGATGAAAGGAACAAATAAGATGTTAGGAATAACTCAGCATGATGGAGCAAGTAATTTTAAAATGTGCCAGGCTTCTTATAGACACTGGAGAAGGAAGTTAAAGGGTTCTCTTAAAAGAGGGTAGTGGCTTAGAGCAGCTCAAGATGGGGGGTCTAGGGGCAGGGCTAAATATAACAGGGGTAACAGAAGCATCAAAACCAACACCTTTGGTAGATAGGGGGACGGACAGAAAAGTGGTACAAAAACAGGTCAGACAACTCTGGCCTTGAAGATAAACTTGAAAATGATGGAGTAGAGAAAGGGGGGAATTCAGGCAGTGGCTGGGGGCTGGTATCAGGTTGGGTAAGATGGTCTACCTTGACTGCTGAACAATGTTGTGAGTTAAGCTTTTTCTTTTGGCAGCTGCAGGGCAGATACTAGATCCAAACTCACTCTGCTCATTCTCACACCATGGCATAACCCATCAAGATATTTTTTTGAAGTATACTCTTTCCCTTTTGCAAGCAGTAATAATCACACACAGTTTTTCCCTTTATCATATAAAATATTTCATAGTGGTCAGTCTCAGATACCATTCAGTCCTATTTCTAAAATTGTTTGGGAATATGGTGGGGGAGAGAAGCAGTACAGTGGGGGTAATAATATAGCTCTGGCCCTTTAAATTTCATAAAATTGATAGAATTTAACAAAAGAATCTAAACTTAATTAAAAATCATGTTTGCCTTCATAATCTATGGTTACAATCTTATAAATTAACACAAACCAGTGAAGTTCTTAGGATACAAACACGTGGTCCATTCATTGCAAGGGTGGGGCTACCTCTGAAAACTAGTGACAGTAAGTGTTAACGTCAGCATTGATCATTTTAAGAAACCTCTATCTAACAGGGGAGAAGCTGGTTCTTTTCAAAGGGTGCTGGGCTAGTGAAGCAAGAGATCAAAATGTCAAACCATGTATATGGATAGGAAATGAGAAAAAAAGAGATGCATCTTTTCTTCAGCTGCTAAAAGCTTCAGCTGCCTCTCAAGAGCCTGAAACCTTAACTCACTCTTGCAAAGGAGCCAAAGCCTCCAGCTCTTCCTGTCTGACAACTTCTGTAATGAAGTTGTGTATTATCCAAATCAAATCCTATTGCACATTAAACATTTCGGGGTAATGCATAGTTGAAAGACATTCTAACACTGATGTCCAAAGTTGAATATCAAAACAAGTAGTATTGTCTGATATTTTTCATATTTCAATAGTTTTTTGTTTTGCTGTTGAAGCTCTTACAAGTCTGACACCTTCCGCACAGAATTTAGGGCCTGTGTGCCACAGCTTTTAGGGAGACCTAGCCAGAGCACTCTCCACTGTTATCAGATGTGCTAAGTCATTAACACAGAGCTCAGATGCTTTTACCACCAAGTCAGGACAACCTGTACAGAGCAGGTTTAATAGCACTGGGGGGAAGAGGGACAAAGTCTGCACCCTGTCTACACAAGTTTTTACACTTTTACTATCACTGATGTAGCTGCACCATTACTGGCCCTTCCTGTAATCCTGATACAAATTTTATTGCTGTAGACCAGGGGTAGGTAACCTGTGGCACGTGTGCCAAAGGCGGCACGCGAGCTGGTTTTCAGTGGCACTCACACTAGCCATCGGTCCAGGGGGCTCTGCATTTTAATTTAATTTTAAATGAAGCTTCTTAAATATTTTAAAAACCTTATTTACTTTACATACAACAATAGTTTAGTTATATATTATAGACTTATAGAAAGAGACGTTCTAAAAACTAATTTATTACTGGCACGCGAAACCTTAAATTAGAATGAATAAATGAAGGCTCGGCACACCACTTCTGAAAGGTTGCTGGCTCCTGGAGTAGACACTGCCTAGCCTCTCATCTAGCTGGAGTACCGCAGTCGACGGCGAGCACTTCCTGGTTCGACTTACCGTGTCCAAACAAGATGCGATAAGTCGAACCCAGAAGTTCGATCACTCGCCGCCAAACTACCGGGTAAGTGTAGACATACCCTAGGAGATCTTAAATTCCTGGAAAATAAGAGTGCTTCCACACTCTGCTCTTATTTGACTCAGACTGATTCCATATAGCACTTTACACTACTTACAGATGGCCAGCAAGACACACACTTGATTTTACCATCCATTAATGCAGCTACAAAATATAGTCCCTTAAAATTAACAAAGAATATAATCTCTCTATATTGTTGAAGTGCTTTATGTTAATGAGGTCAAACAGACCCTACAATCACCTAGGAGAGCCAACAGCATTGACCATATTAAAAGGCAAAAATAGGCAGGGAACTCTTTGGGGTTCCAGAGAAATGCATGATGATTAAGCAAAAAAAATCTAGATTTGATAGCGCAAAAGGTCATTTCTAAGCTTCATGTCTACAAATAAGCTATGTGAAATCCATTATGTTGAAGACCAGATTATAGTTATATTTAAAAAAAAATTGTTACCTTTAAGGAAAAATGCCTGTCAAAAGAAAGTATATTATGACATTTTCCTATCTCAATGAACTAAATAGAATGAACTCAAGAATAACAAAAGATTACCAATTACTTAAAAAACCCCCAAAAATTAAGTAGCAGTAGTTTTTATACTAAGATTTACTAATTAGTAACGAAGAATTCAATGATGTCTAAGATCTGGCTGTGTAAAAACAAATGAAAATTAACTTTAATATATCAGTTTATTTCTCACACAACAGTTGGTAAATGAAAAAGTTTTCTTCAGTCATGTTGCTTGTTAGAGCAATTA